TCTTCAGCTTGTCGTGAGAATTCAAAGGTTGTTGGCATATGGAAAGTAGGCGAGGCCAGTGTCCCAGAGAGACTCATTTTAAGGAGCAGATTGATATGGTGGATAGACAGGTAAATTTAAATAATCATGATCTAAAAGTCTGCCCTAATTTCTCTGCGAGAATGATTCCTTTAGGATTGAGAGAGGGATCAGAGGTGGCTTTTACCAATGGAGGTGACTTGGAGCAGAACTTCTCCTAGTAGGATAGGGATGGGATGGTACAGAGATGCACATGGTATGGGGAGAATAGCAGGCAGTCTAAGATTGTGTGAGAAGAGAAGGGACGATGTGACAGGTAAGGTAGGAGGCCAAAAGTCATGTTAGTATCAGACCCTCGAGGTCTTTAGTACCAGGTTAAGAAATGTGGGCAGAGGGAGCCACTGAGGAGTCTGAGCAAGGAAGCAGCTTGTTTCAGGTTTGAGGTTTAAAAAGATCATGAATGGCTTGTAGAGCGGGATGGCGATGGGGGTGGGCAGTAGGGAGATGAGAGAAAAGCTCCTGTCTTTTCTGGCGGAGAGAGTATGAGGGAGAGTTCTCAGACAGGCTGAGGGACTGGAGAGTGTGGGGAGGAAGTAGGTAGGGGCACCAGCTCTGGGGTCTGAGTGACTAGGTACTTGGTACAGATCTTGATTTCCTCGTCCAGTCTTGGGTAAGACACTTTACCTTTTTGAGCCTCAGTTTCCTCGTGGGATCAGTGTGGTTAGCTTGCAGTGAGATGCCCCAGAATATTGGCCCAAAACACAGGTGGCTAAGGAGATATTGCCTGGGTCTGTTCCAACCCACACTAACACTTTTTTTTTTTGGTTAATGACCCATGACACCAAATACCTCATATAGCCTTTATTTTTCTCCACTCCAGGCCTTGCCCACAGGTCACCGCAACATCAGCAGCAATGTGCTGATATTATTCTGTTCCCTTCTTTTTCACTTCTGGCTGTAAGTACTTTTCCATGCTACTACACACTCTCCCTCCCCAGCACAGCTAACTGCTGCAGGTCATTCTGATGAACTGACGGGAAATATGCCCTTGGCGGGACAGGGCCCTGGACACAGTGAACTGGCTGGCAACCTGGCCAGGGGTACAAGAAACAGTGGATACCTGTTACGTCCCACACTCCTTAACCCATCCAGCTCTGCCTACTTAACATCCCTTCTTGGCCGGCTCCCACGCACTTCACACTTAACAAAAATGCCTGGTGAGGCGGACCTCTCAGTCTCTCCTCTCCTGTTTGTCCCACAGTGTTCTCAGTAACTGGAAGTCGACCATCTACTTATTCACTCAAGCCAAAGCCTGGGGGTCCTTGTGTTTTGCCAAGTTCATGGGGGATCAGGGAGGTGGGTTTTTTAGGATGAAAAAGTCATTCTGGGTTCCTCCCTCACCCTCGTTCCCCACATCTAATCCGCCAGCAAAGCAAGCCTGTCTCCTAAATTGATCTGTTTTGTCTACTTTGCTCTCTTGCCTCAGACCAAATCAAGTCGCTGACTTCTCTCATTTGGATACCTGCAATCTCCTCCTCTTCCAAACCACTGCATTTTCTCTACAGTAGCCAGAACCATCGTCAAGAAGACATTTTTCTTAAAACTCTTCTGTTTTCCCTACTAGGCCTTGTACGATCCATCGCCTGCTCCCCTTGTGCCATGTGATCCATCGCTGTCCACCTACAGCCCTGCTGGCCTCCGCAGGTTCCTGAGCACATCACATGCTTTTGTCCGGGTCTTCCCCGGCTAGCTTTCTCTTGCTAGTATTTCAAGCCTTAGCCCAAATGTTACCTATCTGACCTATATCTCCTCCCCCGTCCCAGTTTTCCTCGCTTTTTTTTTTTTTTTAACTGTGGTAAAATACACATAACATAAAATTGACCATTTTAACCATTTTTAATTGTATATAGTTCAGTGGCATTAAGTACGTTTACAGTGTTGTGCCTTGCCTATCCTTCACACAACACCATCTGTAATAATACTCTGTGTGTGTGTGTGTGTGTGTGTGTGTGTGTGTGTATGTGTGTATGTGTGTGTGTTTCTTTCCCACTAGAATCACTAGAATTAAGCTCCACGAGAACAGGGAGAGGGTTAGTTTTCTTTTTCCTTGCTACACCTGGCAGTGGTAATAGGCATTCATGGAATGAATGAGTACATGCTGCCACGTATTGAGTACTTACTGTGTGCTTGGCACTCCAAAGTCCTTTACAAACATTTCATTCAGTCTTTTTTTTCTTTTTTTTTTTTTTTTTTTTGGCTGTGCTGGGTCTTCGTTGCTGGGTGCAGGCTTTCTCTGATTGCGGCGAGCGGAGGTTAGTCTTTGTTGTGATGCGCAGGCTTTTCATTGCGGTGGCTTCTCTTGTTGCGGAGCACGGGCTCTAAGCACATGGGCTTCAGTAGTTGTGGCACGTGGGCTCAGTAGCTGCGGCTTGCAGGCTTTAGAGCACAGGCTCAGTAGTTGTGGTGCACGGGCTTAGTTGCTCCGCGGCATGTGGGATCTTCCCGGACCAGGGATTAAACCCGTGTCCCCTGCATTGGCAGGTGGATTCTTAACCACTGCACCACCAGGGAAGTGCTTCATTTAGTCTTGACAGCAGCCCTGGAAGTGGTCACTGCATCCCTTTTTACAGATGAGGGTACAGCTCAGAGAGGTTAAAGCTGCCAGAGAGGGACTTCCCTGGTGGCACAGTGGTTAAGAATCTGCCTGCCAATGCAGGGGACACAGGTTCGAACGCTGGTCTGGGAAGATCCCACATGCCGGGGAGCAACTAAGCCTGCGTACCACAACTACTGAAGCCCGTGCGCCTAGAGCCCGTGCTCTGCAACAAGAGAAGCCACCGCACTGAGAAGCCCGCGCACCGCAACAAAGAGTAGCCCCCGCTCGCCGCAACTAGAGAAAGCCCGCGCGCAGCAACGAAGACCCAACGAAGACAAAAATAAATTAATTAATTAAAAAAAAAAAAAGCTGCCAGAGAGGTCAACCATGGTCACAGAAGCAGGGTTGAACAAACCACAGCTCTGGCAGATGAATCCAATTCCCTTTATCCTAAGGAATGTGCATTTCTAATGTGGGAAAAGGGGTTTCAAAGAGGCTACTTGGAGGGGAGGAGTTCAACCCTGGGAGAATAGAAGTTGGGTGAAACATAGAAATGCCTCAACAGAGTCAAAACTGGGCCATTCACAGCCTGTAGAAGCTCAACCTGCAGAGGCTCAACCTACAGCCTTGGCGGATTGTAGGCCTTTGGCTATTTCGCCGTCTTCGGTACTTTGTTCTCTTCCCCCAGGATAGTCAGCAGAAATGGCCTGGAAATTCCAGGCCACTCACTTTGTGTTCATATACCATGGAATTCGGAGCTGGAGAGGCTGAGGCTCTAGGACCTACTGGAAGGAAGGAAGGGAGGGAGGGAGGGAGGGAGGAAGAATGGGGTGCTGTTTAGGCCCACAGAGGAGCCTGAGAAGGTCTCTTGGAGTTCTCTTTCCATTTGTAGCCTTGGGTAGAGTCTCCATCCCTTTTCTGTAGAATGGAGGAGAGGTGGGTTAGATTAGATTAGAGCTGTGCCTGAGCATCACCTGGGACAGACTCTAGATGTTATAACACCAGCATTGATTTATTGAGCACTTACTATGTTATTACTTTTACAGTATTAGCTCAATTAGTCATTGATGTCACAACAGGGTGTGGGTACTATTATTATCCCCATTTTACTGAGGAGGAAACTGAATCATGAAGAGATTAAATAACTTTGTCCAAGGTCAAACAGCTAGAAAGCAGCTGAGCACATATTCTGGCTCATCTTAACCACCACTTGCTCTACACTTTTGCATCTGGGTAGCTGCAAATTGCCCTCGTTATAGTTTGGGAGCCTAAGGCTTAGACAACTGAACTGTCTTTCATAACCTTAAAGACCAGGGCTCAATAAAGATTTGTTTCCAAAGCTGCTTATATGGGGGAAAAAGGCTTTCGACACAATTTGGGCTGGATTGGAATTGAGATAGCCGCGGAGAAAGTCTGTTCTCAGAGGTCTTGAGGAGGCAAGGCAGCAGCAGTTAGTTTAAGAAGTGAAGGGCTCAGGGCTGAGGCTTTCAGCTGCCCGGGATCGTGCTAGGTGCCAACAGCCCTTCTTGTCACCCGTAGGTGATTTCCTTTCCCCCTTTTTGTGTGTGTGTGTATAACAGTGTTTATCTCTTGTTGGACTGCTTAGAGGAAAGCCAAGTTCCTCCCAGGAGTGGTGCCATTTTGGATCAAAGGGCACAGATGGTTTGGTTTGCTTTTATTTAATGAGAACGGCTTTGTGTGTGTGTGTGTGTGTGTGTGGTCTGATTATGGCAGTTATGTATAACCAGAGTTACTAGTGGTTATGTTGGGGTTGGGAGGAGTTGGGAGGGATACTTCATTTAATGTTCTTCAATGTTTTAATTTTTTATAATAAAAATTTAAAAATATATGTAATGTTTCTTGGAGCTTTGATAATATAGGTAAAGTACAAAGAAAGAAGTAAAAGTCCATAATCCCATTTTCCAGAGGTTACCATTATCAATATTGAATGTATTTCCTTCCACACATTTTTATATGTGTATGCTTTTTCTTTTCCACAAATAGGATGATGGGCTGTTTTTCAATCTGTTTATATTACTTGGCAATGACTCAGTAAATAAATCTCTGAAAGCATCACTTTAATGGCTTTGTCCTGTTTTATCATCAATATACCACATATTATCTAGCCAGCCCCCTACTCCTGAGTGTATGGGTTGCTCCATTTTTGGTTGTTTTTTTAATGTTATGAAGAATACAGTAGAGAATATTTGTGGATTTTAATCTTTGGGTGTATTTATTATTTGGTTCTTCTCAGATAAATTCTGAGAAGTGGAATTGCTGGGCATTTCTTCTCACTTTTTTTTTAGGGTTTTTGATGAATATTGCCTAATTAGAGCAGGAAAATGATTGCCATTTCTGACATGGAGTATTTGCCTGGGTTTTTCAGGACAGGAAGATGCCACCCAAGCGTATAACTAAGAGAAGGTCACCCCCCGAAGATGCCCTTCCCAAAAGCAAGAAGGTGAAGGGTAAGTTGGCCTTGGCCTCTGCTTCAGTATGGGTGGCCTCTTGGCACCCCCAGAACTGCAACTGGGCTCCTTTCTCCCTGAGATTTGAAGCTGAGGGGCCTGGAAGTCCAGGAACTCCACCCAGCTGGAGAGTCTCCTGTAGCTCACTGAATCCCGCCCTCTGGGAATCTTAAAGGGGCAGAGACTTGCCTAAAAGCACTCAGATACTGGCAAAAAACTAGACCCTAGGGCTTTGCCCCAGGCAGTAATGCATCATGGTTAAGACCATTGACCTCCAGACTGGGTTCAAGTCCTGGCTCTGCCACTTTCTAGCTACATATATAGCTTTGAGCAAATCACTAACCTCACTGAGCTTGGACTACTACCCCATTCATAAAATGGGCAACCTCACTGGGCTGTCCTGAGGAAAATGAGATCATGTCCTGGTAGCACTGGAGGGAGGTGGCTGTGGTCTCTCTCCTGGGACCCTGGAGGGAGTCAGGGAGGAGAGAGAGCCACCCCCAATCTGGGAGGGGGGAATATGGACCCACACTCAGACACTGTCTGTCTTTTGCAGACCCTGGTAACCAGGCAGTGAGGGTCGTTGCCTCCCGCCGCGTTCCAGGCGCCCGCTCCTGCCAAGGTGCCTGCGGGCCGAGCCCTCCTGACCAGAAAGCCCGACCTGGTGGCTGCTTGCCCAGCGCACCCTCTGCGCAGCCGCAGCAGTCCTGGCAGCCTGGCCACACCCCCAGGGGGAGGGGCTGGACGCCATTGGCTGTTCGGGGCTACGGGGCGGTCGCTGTTGGCCACCAGCTGGCCCTGTGCCGCACACCGGTTGGCGTGTTCCTCTGTGCAAAAGCCTGTGCGGGCTCTTAACTCCTACCCCTTCCTTTTCAGCTGCTTGTCCGCTCCCACCTAGGAGCGGAGTCGGGGTCAGTGTACCTATGTCCAGGGGTTAAGTCACAGCCAGAGGATGCACTGCAAACTCTACTGACCTCTGAGACTCTGTTCCCTTTTCTGTAAAGTGGGATCCTAAGAATGGAAGGTCTGTAGCATAATGTGAGGGGCTGCAAAGCAGTCTAACACTAGTAAGCAGTTGGTAAAGGGGTAGACGTTATTATGCCCTGTTAGTATGGTTCCCGACCAAGAACAGCCTATCAGGAAAACTAGCTTGTGTCCCCACTGTTCTTTAACCCTCTCCACCAAGATTCATTTGCTGATATTGAGTGTCTCGTTTCATTTCCTTCCACTCACATTAATAATGTGATCAGTTTTTAATCTGCACAAAAACCCTATGAGATAGTACTTTTGTTATCCTCGTTTCACAGATGAGAAAACTTAGGCTTGGAGAGGTCAGATGGTCTGTGGCAGGGCAGGGGCTTGAACCCAGGTCTGTGTGATCCCAGAGCCTGTGCAGTGACCTCTCCTGCCTCCCATCATCCTACACACTCAGGGGCTGTCTCCTTCACCCCTCAGTCTCACATAGGTCCCACAACACAGAACCGGGTTTGGTGCTGACGCTGGGCCAGGGCGACGTGGGCCAGCTGGGCCTGGGCGAGAATGTGATGGAGAGGAAGAAGCCAGCCCTGGTGCCCATTCCAGAGGACATCGTGCAGGCTGAGGCTGGGGGCATGCACACTGTGTGTCTAAGCAAAAGTGGCCAGGTAGGTTGGGGGTGGCACAGGATGAGACAGGGCCTGGGGTTAGTAGGGGGCTTGGGGAAGGAGCTTTGAACCACACGCATTACTCTGTGGAGATGGAGCTGGCTAGACGAGCAGGGATTGGCCTAAACAAGAACGGACTGAGAGGCCAGGCCTTGCACTAATGGGGTCATCCTGGGCACAGGTCTACTCCTTCGGCTGCAATGATGAGGGTGCCCTGGGAAGGGACACATCAGTGGAGGGCTCAGAGATGGTCCCTGGGAAAGTGGAACTGCAAGAGAAGGTGATACAGGTGTCAGCAGGAGACAGTCACACAGCGGCCCTCACCGAGGATGGCCGTGTCTTCCTCTGGGGCTCCTTCCGGGTAAGACTGGGTCTGGAAGACCGCATGGGGGCTGGTGGGCAGAATTAACTGGTGGGGCCCCAAAATAACCCATCATGAGGCCCCTGTTTTACTTACTGGTGGGGAAATCAAGGCCCTGGGCAGAGCTTGGGCCCAGACCCAGGTTTCTGGCTTCTTCATCCAGGCCTGTCCACACCACTGCTGTTCCCTAGACTCTGATGTTATGATGTGTGCGTCTTGGGAAAGGGATGGGTCAAGGATGCCTTTGGGCTGAGGCTAAGCCAGGAAGCCTACTGACCCATCTCCCTGCCTTCAACCTCCCCCCTCCCCTTCCCAGCCTTCTTCCACACTTCTCAGGGATTTGGGGGCACATCTCAGAACTTCCAGGACAGGAGAGTGTGGTTTAAAAAGCAGATACAGCATTAAAATTTTTTTGGTACTTTAGTATTTGATTTATTTTGAAATGCCAAAAATAAAGGAATCTGATGTTTCCTCATTGGGGCTGATTTTAAATTTTTTTATTGATAATTTCAAACACATAAAAGTAATCAGAATACTATATTGACCTCTATCTGCTTGCCCCAACAATTATCAGCTTATGACCAAACTTGTTTCATCTTCACTCCCTTCCTTTCCCCAACTCCTTTGTTATTTTAATGCAAATCACAGACCACATATGATTTCATTCGTAAGTATTGCACTATGTGGCCTGGCTCCTGCCCACTTCTGCATCTCCATCTGGCACCAGTGCCCTTCACCAGACAGCTCTGTAGCTGACTGCAAAGCTGGATCTGGCTGGTATGAGGCAGGAAGAACTGGCTGAAAACTCTTCCGCCCCTCCCTTCCAGGACAATAATGGTGTGATTGGGCTCTTGGAGCCCATGAAAAAGAGCATGGTGCCTGTGCAGGTGCAGCTGAGTATGCCCGTGGTGAAGGTGGCCTCAGGTGAGTCTGCAGGTACTCACTCTGGGCAGGACTTGGAGAACCTTTTTGGGGGGCTGGCCCAGCCTCGGCCCTTGCAGACTAGCCCTGCATCCCTTGCCTTCCTCTCACCCTCAGGAAACGACCACTTGGTGATGCTGACAGTTGATGGCGACCTCTGTACTTTGGGCTGCGGGGAGCAGGGCCAACTGGGCCGCGTGCCTGAATTATTTGCTAATCGTGGTGGCCGGCAGGGCCTCGGTAGGTGGCTTAGGTCCCTCTGGCGGGGCAAGTTGGCAAGCCACCCCCAGTGAAGGTCAGAGGTAGAAGGGATTCTCTGTGTTCAGGCTTGCATCAGGTGGACCTGCGGTGGTAGTTAAGGACTCAGATTCTAGAGCCAGGCTACCCCAGGTTTGAATCGTGGCTCTACCAGCTACTGGCTGTGAGCCCCTGGACATAGTTTCCTCATCTCTAAAGCCACCTACCTCTAAACCTACCTCACTGGTTTGTTGTGAAGTTAAATGAGTTTACATAAAAGACTGTCTGGCACATGGTAAGTTCCAGGTAAATGTTACCTCTATGGCTGTGGGAGTCTGAGTGAGGCACTTGGACTCTCCTGGCCTCAGTTTCCTCTTCCGTATAATAGGGACAAGAGTCCCTGCCTAGCCTCCCTGCGAGGGCTTTAGCAGTGAAGGAGAAACAGATGGGGCAGAGAGGAGAGGCCGTGTGTTTCTGCCACTGACCCTGGCCTGCTCTCTGCCTGCAGAACGACTCCTGGTCCCCAAGTGTGTGATGCTGAAATCCAGGGGAAGCCGGGGCCATGTCAGATTCCAGGATGCCTTCTGTGGTGCCTACTTCACCTTCGCCATCTCCTCTGAGGGCCATGTGTATGGCTTTGGCCTCTCCAACTACCATCAGCTAGGTGAGTCCCAAGCCCATCGTCCAGGGTCGCCCAGAGTGACCTGGGCTCCAGTCCTGCCTCCATCCCTCATTCATTGTGCACCCTTGGTGGGGTCACCTAACCCCTCAGAGCCTCAGTTTTCTCATCTGTAAAATGAGAATATAAATACCCTGGTGTAGGGTGGGGGCCCCACTGGGAGGGGAAGAAGAAGGCAGCTCCTTGGACACCCTCACGCCTGACAGCTCTGTCCTGGCCTCTTCCCCCAGGAACCCCAGGCACAGAATCTTGCTTTGTACCTCAGAACCTGACATCCTTCAGGAACTCCACGAAGTCCTGGGTGGGCTTCTCTGGTGGCCAGCACCATACAGTCTGCATGGATTCGGAAGGTAGGGCCTCCTGGTCCATCTCTGGGTTGGAGGTGGAGTGTTCCCTGGGCACGGGCCTGGCCACACTCCGGAGATGGCGGTGCTCGGAACCTGGGCCTGCTCCATGGACTGGGCTGGCTGTGGGTCCACGAATGTCGCCCCCGTCCCCCAGCGTCCTGGTGTTCTTCCACATGTGAGTTCAATGGGGGCCTGGGGGGGTTCTCCCAGGCCTCCCCCCAAACTGAAAAGGACACTTCAGACCTCACCACCCTGGGAATGGGGGACCAGCTCCCACAGATATAGGCGCTCACATGGCCTACCTGGAGCATGCCCTCTGCTACTCCTCGTCTCTCTCCCTCCTCCACAGGAAGAGCATACAGCCTGGGCCGGGCTGAGTATGGGCGGCTGGGCCTTGGGGAAGGTGCTGAGGAGAAGAGCGTACCCACCCCCATCTCCAGGCTGCCCGCCGTCTCCTCGGTGGCTTGTGGGGCCTCTGTGGGGTATGCTGTGACCAAGGATGGTGAGTGGGGCTGCCCACAGTCGGTCTGGTTGGAGTCTGGGGGTCGTGGTTCTTACCGAAGTGCCCAGTAGCCTCTGATGTCTACCATCAGATGGAGCTGAGGTGTGGAGAACACTGTTTGTGGCGACGTTGCTTTTGGCCTGATTGTCAGAAGCTCTGGCTTTGATGACAAAATGGGTAAACACATTATTTTAATAGAGGTGATTTGTTCTGTAGAGGAGAAAAACAGCAAAGGGAGATGTATCACTGAGGCCCAGACAAGCAGTAGGACTTGAACCCATGTTTCCAGACTCCTAACTCAGGCTTCTCTTTACATTTTATACCATGGTGACCCTTTTTATTTACAACCTAGTAGGTGCCGGCTTCCCAGGGAGTTGTACTTAGAATTTTATTAGAGAAAGAAGGCTTAGTAGTTGGGGTCCTGGCAAGCACAGCAGAGGAGGGTGTGGACAAGTGGTCACCAAAGCCTGAGCGGAACAACCATGGAGGCCTTGAGAAATCCAGCTGGCAGAGGTGCTTGACCTGGGATTATCTGGGAAGAGTTCCTGAGGAAGTGGGGCTTGTACTGCACGGTGAAGGTTCAGTCCTTTATGATAAGCAAAGGAGGGCATCCAGAGCAGTCTCAAAGGCAGGTACCTGGTCCTGGGAAGGGAGGTGATATAGGGATTTGGGGAATGGCCAGTCATTGTCGGGCCTTGAATGCCACGCCTAGGAGCAGGCAGAAGTTTTTGGCAATGTGTAAGGACTGCGGTCTCTGGTTGACAGAGCTCTTCTTTGTCCGTCATCTCCTTGCTTCCTCCCAGCTTCCCTGAACGCCCGGAGGCTGGGACATTGCCAGGCTGCCACAGGCCCAGGCCAAAATCCACCCTCATGTGCCAGACTTCTCACACCACAGAAAGGTGGGGCTTGGGACCCTGGAGACAGCTGCCCGTATTTCTGTCCTTTGTAGGTCGTGTTTTTGCCTGGGGCATGGGCACCAACTACCAGCTGGGCACAGGACAGGAAGAGGATGCCTGGAGCCCCGTGGAGATGACAGGCAAACAGTTGGAGAACCGTGTGGTCTTATCTGTGTCCAGCGGGGGTCAGCACACAGTCTTACTAGTCAAGGACAAGGAACAGAGTTGATGAAGCCTCTGAGGGCCTGGTTTCCGGCCCCCCCACCTCCCTCCTGGAACAAGGAAGCCATGATGTCTACATATTCCAGCAGGCCTCTTCCAGCTCCAAGTACTCTGTCATCTCCTGCCTTTTTCCCATCAGCAGAACAGAATCCTTCTCTTTTTTTTCCCCTCCTTTTCCGGAATCATCCTGGGACCTACAGGATGAGGGTGGGATAGATGGAAGAGGGGAGGGGGTTTTAATCAGAAGGAACGTTGCTGACCCCACAGCTATGTGGTTAGACCTTTCCCCCTCATCCCTACTTCCCATGGTCCTGGCTGACCCTGGTTTTGGCCTATCAAAAACCAAAACTTCCTCCCCTGCGTGTTTGGTGCCCGTACTCGGAGAAGTCGGGGCTCTGTCAAGCCCTGCTCTAGTCATGTGCCACTCTTCCTGTCCTTCACAACCCACAGACAGACAAATGGTACAGTCCTGAGACCCAGCTGTCATGGACCTACGCCTGGGGAAACTGGAGAAGGGGCAGGGCTACCTAGCCATGGGCAACCCCAAGCCAAATATTTGGCCCTGAACAGGTGCCCATGGGGCAAAAAGAAAAACAGTGATCCTCCGCTTGATCAAGAAAAAAGCCAGTCAGCCTTTCTCCCAGAAGCACAAAGCATTCTGCCCTTCAGGCCTTGTCTGCCTTGTCTCACCCATCCAACCTGCCTCACCTGCAAGTCAAGGGCCTGAAATCCAGAAAGGAAGCTATGCCTGCAGGGCAGGACCTCGGGGAGAGGGGAAGGAGGGCTTTATAAGCAAACTTACAGCAATATTGAGAGTGAAGGGAGGGCAGGGAAGAGGGTTGGAGGGGCAGAGACTGGTCCCCAGAAAGGGAAGCAGTAGCTTGTACAGAGGCTGAAAAAATAGAAGAGAGTATTGATTTTTTTTTTAATGTAAAGTATTTTGGAGGGGAAAGTGAAATCTTTTAACACTTTGAATAAATTTAGAGTTTTATAAAACAGGCCACTTGTTTTCTACATGCTCCCTGCTTTTTTAAGGGAGCACCTGCTGTGTTGGGATGGGCAGAATAACCCCATGCCTGTAGCCCTGGTGAAGACTAGGGCGTCAGTGATGTCAAGAGGTCCTCGTGTGTGCCAGTCAGTTGGGGGGTTTTTTGTTGTTTTTTTGTTTTTTGTATGGAACAGTGGCTGTTCTAGACAAATTTTAAAAAGTTGATTGATTTTTGTTAGGTATTTATGTTTCAGGAATCACTGGATTTTAAAAAAAATTATACTGTATATTGTGTGAGACATGGGATGGATCTTTTAATATCCTAATCCCAAACCAAGATTTTTGAGTACAGTACATCTCTAGAAATACTTATGCTAAGTTTAATGATGTACTATATCATTTCAAAAGCTAGTATAACTGATTAAACATGATTAACTGCACAGTAACAACTTAATGCATAATGATGTAGATTTTCACAGGCATTTGAGCAACCAAATCATATAGAGCTGACCTGTCCAGTATGGTGGTCAGTACCTACATGTGGCTATTTACATTTAATTTAAATTTGTAAAAATGTAAAATGGACTTCCTCAGTTGCACTAGCCACATTTCAAGTCCTCAGTAGTCAGAAGTGTCTAGCGCCTATGGTTCTGGGCTATGCAAATACAGAAATTTATAGAACATTTCCATAACTGCAGAAAGTTACAGTGAACAGTGCTGATATAGGAGGTTTGTATATTACAGCAGGAAAGTTTTACTAGCACCACCAGGAGGATTCTTCCAAATCAGTGACTCTTGGAAAAATGAATATGATGTAAAATAACTTAAAATGTATTCTGTGATTATTTTTTTTCCTTGAACTTTTAGTTTTGTTGCATGTACTATCCTGATTAGAAATTGACTTCTTAGAAGGGGAAAATCACACTTTTGATTTTAGTATTTTCTTTGTGAAGAAGCACTTGTGTGTCTGCTCTTCCCACGCCCACTCCCCCCAGAAAAGTCCAGTTGGATTAGATTTACTGAAGTTTTCCCTTTTGACAACATAGCAGGTTGAAAGTGCCCTATCCTTGATAACAGCTCTTGTGGATTGGGACTTAAAGGGGCCAGGCATTGTGCTGAGCACTTTGCATACAATAATAGCTCATTTGATCGCCTTGTGAAGTGGGAATTGCTGTCCCTCAGGAAAAAGTCCCTGACAGTTCAAGTGTCTAGCTTGAGGCCAAGCTACCAAGTGGCACAGACTAGGCTAGAAATTAAATCAGCCTCCACCCGAGCCCAGAACCTCAGTTTCTTTTCCTTGTATTGAACCTAAGAGTTATAAAGCTCTCTGTAGGTGCTTTACATATGTTAGAACAGTTTCAGGCACATAGCAAAGGCCCCACAAGCCTTTGCTGTTATGACCGTTGAACATTTTAAAGTTCCCTGTAGTTAATAATTGCCTTGTTTTTCACATGCTTAGTTTTTTGGTGTAAGTATCATTTATTCGGTGTTCATATCTCTATCAGAAGTGTAAATCCCCTTTTCTATGTTTAAACACATCAGGTATTCTCAATTTTACCTCTTCTCCCATCCTCCTCCAACCTGAATTGGTTACCCCAAAACAAATGTAATCACCCCATATGGCTCAGCTATAAATAATATTTGCAAAGTCATAATAATGTAAATGTTCAGTGTTTTGACAAATTATAGTCAGAAGGTGGAGAAGTGTGTATGTATGAGGGGCAGTCCCTAAAATATCTGGGGCTTCCCTGGTGGCGCAGTGGTTGAGAATCTGCCTGCTAATGCAGGGGACACGGGTTCAAGCCCTGGTCCGGGAAGATCCCACATGCCGCGGAGCAACTAGGCCCGTGCCCCACAGCTACTGAGCCTGCGCGTCTGGAGCCTGTGCTCCGCAACAAGAGAGGCCGCGATAGTGAGAGGCCCGCGCACCGCGATGAAGAGTGGTCCCCGCTTGCCACAACTAGAGAAAGCCCTTGCACAGAAATGAAGACGCAACACACCAAAAATCAATTAATTAATTAATAAACTACCCACAACATTTTTTAAAAAAATAAAAAATAAAATAAAATATCTGAAACTACAAATGAATAGAAAGTATACAATTTAGGGCTTCCCTGGTGGCTCAGTGGTTGAGAGTCCACCTGCCGATGCAGGGGACATGGGTTCGTGCCCCGAACTGGGAAGATGGGGCCCGTGAGCCATGGCCGCTGAGCCTGCGCGTCCGGAGCCTGTGCTCTGCAGCGGGAGAGGCCACAACAGTGAGAGGCCCCCATACCGAAAAGAAAAAAAAGAAAGTATATTTAGAAATACACAGATTTTAGGGAAAAGATTTGGAAGTGGTTGCCTCAAGACACTGGAAGTTGGGAATAGGGATAGATGGGGTAAGGGACAGCTGTTTATCGTTTGACATAAATTCAAAAAATTTTTTTCAGTGCCTACCATATCCCAGACGTTGTGGGAATTTGATTAGAAAGCGTGAACAAGGAATCCTGTCTGATAAAGCTTACATTCTAAATTAAAAATAAACATTTAAAAGTCTTCCATAAGTAAAATAATTTTTTTTTTTTTTTTGCGGTACGCGGGCCTCTCACTGCTGTGGCCTCTGCCGTTGCGGAGCACAGGCTCCGGACACGCAGGCTCAGCGGCCATGGCTCACGGGCCCAGCCGCTCTGCAGCATGTGGGATCCTCCCAGACCGGGGCAGGAACCCGTGTCCCCTGCATCGGCAGGCGGACTCTCAACCACTGCACCACCAGGGAAGCCCAGTAAAATAAATTTTAAAAATGGTAAGCAAAGAGCACAGCACAGGGGCTGGCAAATAGTACTAAATAGAAGAGTTACCAGTTACAATTTGAAGGCCTCCAACTGCCATGTTGGAGAACTTACTGGAAGCCAGGCATTAGGGTCAGTGCTTTTCCCTACTTCTCATTTTATCCTCACAACAAACGTGGTATGAGGTAAGCACTGTTATTATCCACGTTAGTCTCAGAGAGTTTAAATAACCTGCCAAAATAATTAGTGAGAGGGGACTGGGATTTGGGCTCCGTTTGTTCAAATCTATAGCCAAAGCACTCAACCACTACACTACTATGGCAGTGAATAGGATAAAGCTGGAATTTGGCAACTTGTGGTTGGATCCAAGACTTTAGACTCATGAGTGCCTGACTTTGGGGCCCAACATCCCAAGTCTGGGGTGTATAAGCTGGTAAGGAAGGGTTGAGGTGGCCTGTACCAACACAGAGGGAGCCCCGGAAATGGATCCTCAGGCACTTGCCATGACCTTCACTGTGGGAGTTGACAATTACCACCTACAGAAACTTCACATTCTGAGAAATGGGTATTAAACTGAGGCTAAAGCCTGGGACACTCCCAGATTAGGAGTCGAATTGTCAGGATCATCTAGAAATCGTGTTTACTTGAGGGCCTTCTATAGCAGGTCACTGTTCTGGGACAGGTTAGAACTGGCAGTTTGGATTAGTGTAGGGGATGTGGACGCAAGAGTGATAAGACTTGGGGATTGATTTGAGTGGTTGAGAAGACAGGGTTACCCCAATTTACAGTCTTTAACTCTACCCTCCCCGCACCCCGGGGCTATACACGGGAATGGTGAAAGAATCCCATTGCAGCGTCAACAGAAATGTCTTGCAAACTGGGAAATGCGGGGTGAAGGGGTGGCTGGGGCGGGCCAGTCGGTAATTTGCCTGACGTCACACAGAGTGTGTGTGGGACTGAATTCAGTGGGACTGAATCGTCCAGGTTCCCAAAGGGGATCTTTCACTTGTTAAAAAAAAATGTGCTTATACTTGCAATTTTTTACAACGAGCGTAAAATTACTTCTGTAATTTTATATGTACGTGTGTGTTTAAATAAAATCAGAAAGAAACCCGAGAAAGCCCCTCACCCGCGCCACCCACCATCCAACGCTAGGCAGTGTCTGCCCCGCCCCATCCCGCAGGCTCCAGTCTTGAGACCCGCCCACAGGGATCCCGCAAGACCCCGAGCGGCACGTGGGCGCGGCCCTGGGCGCCGAGTTGCGGAGCGTGCGCAGAAGGCGTCGGAGGCGCATGCTCTGTGGAGGTTCCGGCTCGGCGGCCCGGCGTCCGCGCCAGCCTCGGTGGCCAGCGAAGTCCTGGCGGGGCCTCGGGCATGGCGGCCAGCCTGTGGATGGGCGACGTGAGTGAGGGCGGCCGCCCGGGTCTGCGGAGCAGGAATCTTAGTGTCACGAGGGAGAAAGGGACTGAGGAGAAGGGTCCTCGGATCCCAAAAGGGTGGAAGTGAATGGGCGGGGGAGTTCTCTTAGGTGACTCCGAAGCGGGTCCCAGCATCTAGGTGAAGGGGCTGATTCGGAGGGGGAGGGGCCCTGGGGCCCCGCCCGGGTTCACGCCAGGGAAAGCGGGA